CGTGGGGGGGGGGGGGGGGGGGGGGGTGGGGGGGGGGGGGGGGGGGCGGATCTGTGGGGCGGTGATGCTGGCCAGGGGTGGCAGTGGGTCTGTGTTGGGGGGTGATGCTGGGCGGGGGGGGATCTGTGGAGGGGTGATGCTGGCCACGGGGGCTGATCTCTCCCCACCCCCAGAGTGCATTTCGGGGGTGGACGTGGCTATTTTATACGACGACTCGCTGAGCATCCAGCCCAACGACTTCACGCTCATGAAGCAATTTATCGGGAAGCTGCTGCGCGCCCTGGCAGGGCCCCGCGTCCAGGTGGGGGTCCGTCCGTCCGTCCATCCATCTGTCCCTGAGCGGTGTGTCCGTCCGTCTGTCCCTGCACCCAAGGGGCCTAATCCTGCGCTGTGTCCGTCCGTCTGTCCATGCCCGCATGGTGTGTCCGTCCGGCTGTCCCTGCGTGGTGTGTCCGTCCGTCCCTGCACCTGAGGGGCCGAACCCTGTGCTGTGTCCGTCCGTCTGTGCACATGTTGGGGGCAGGGCAGCCGGTGACAATCTGCTCTTTTAAACAATCTCCCCCCTGACTCCTTTCATTCTCCCTCTGCCCCGGGGGCTTCGTGCCCCCTCCCCTTCCCCCCTTGCTGTCCCCTTTCCCCCTCCAGATTGCCGTGGTCCAATTCTCCTCCTACATCAACCACGTTTTCACATTTGCCGACTACGTCGCGAAGGGCCTGGAGGCCGTGGAGCAGGACCTGATGGCCTTCCCCCATCTGAAGGGGAACACTCACACGCCCTCAGCCATCCTCTTCACGGTGTGAGTACCCCACGGAGGCAGGAGGGACGCAGCTGGCCCCCCTGGACTCCCTGCACTGACCCTGGCCGCTCTCCCCGCAGAAAACAAACCTTCACCCCTGAGCACGGCGCCCGGTCCCACGCCAAGAAGCTGCTGATCGTCCTGACCGATGGGCAGTCCACCGACACCGGAAACTTCTTCCCCCAGGCCATCCAGGCGGCCAACAACATGGGGCTGGTCCGCTACGCCATCGGGGTACGGCGGGGGGAGCCTGGCCAGGGGGCTGGAGAGTCCCTGCCGTGCTCTGGGCTCCAAAAAACTCTCGGGGTTCCTCCAGCGTTCTAGGTTCTGGAGGCTCCTTGAAGGTTTGGGGTTCCCAGCAGTTCTGGGGAGACCTTAAAGGTTTTTGGGTTTTAAGCTGTTCTGGAGGGTCCTTAATGGATTGGGGAACCAAGAGGTTCTTTAAAGGTTCTAGTGTTTGAGAGGTTCTGGAAGGATGTTAGGAGGTTCTGGGAGGTTCTGATTGGTTCCCGAGAGGTTCTGTAGGTTCTGTGAGGTTTTGGGAGGTTCCTGAGAGGTTCCTGATTGGTTCCTGAGAGGTTCTGTAGGTTCTGTGAGGTTTTGGGAGGTTCCTGAGAGGCCCTGATTGGTTCCTGAGAGGTTCTGTAGGTTCTGTGAGGTTTTGGGAGGTTCCTGAGAGGTTCTGATTGGTTCCTGAGAGGTTTCGGAGGTTAATGGGAGGTTCTAGAGGTTCAATGAGGTTCTCATTGGTTCCTGAGAGGTTCTGGAGGATGCTAACGAGCTTTGGGAATTCACTGAAGGTTCTGGGTCCTCAGACGTTCTGGAGGGCACTTAATGTTTCTGTTGTCTGTGAGTATTTTGAAAGTTCTGGGCTTCCCAAAGGTTCTGGAGGCTCTTTGAAGGTTTTGGTTTCCAGGAGGATCTGGAATATGCTAAGTGTCGCTGCAGGTTCCCTAAAGGTTCTGGAGGGTGCTAGGATGTCCTGGAGACAGTCAGTGTTTTTAGGTTGCGAGCGATTCCTCAAAGGTTTTGGGTTCCTGCAGGATCTAGGGGTTCCTTAAAGGTTCTGGACCAGAAATGAGGCGCTCGGGAGATTCCCAAAGAGTCCCGGGAGGGATGTATGGGATTCTGGATTGGGGTTTGGATAGGCCGAAGCAGGGCTCCGGGGAAGGGGGGGCTGGAAGGGTTCTGGAGGGTTCTGGTGGATGAGGAGGTTCAGGGAGGGGGTATAAAATGGATCTGAAGGACATGTTGGTATCTGAGGGGTACTGGAGATTTGTGGGAGGTTCTGGATGGTTCTGGAGGATGCTGGGGAGGTTCTGGGTGTGGGTGATGGGTCTGTGGGGTTCTGTGGGTCCTAGGAGGTTCCATTTGTTCTGGAGTATGGTGGGGGGCTCTGGAGAACGCTAGGGGGTGTCTGCATGTGTGCGAGGGGTCCCCAGGAGGGGTTCTAGTTGGTTCTAGAGCATGGTGGGGGGGCCCTGGAGGACCATGGGAAGTTCCGTGTTAGTGTGAAGGGCCTGTGGATTTCTGGGGGGTCTGGAGCCCATTCCTGGAGGTCTCTCTCCCCCGTCCCCCGGTTCCAGGTGGGCAAGGCATTCTCCACGTCCGAGGCGCGCCAGGAGCTGCTCACCATCGCCTCGCGGGCTGAGAACGTCTTCCAGGTTGGGAGCTTCTCCGCCCTCAGCACCATCCAGGAGCAGCTTCGCGAGAAGATCTTCGCTATCGAAGGTGCGGGGCCCACGGATCCTCCTCTAGCCCGGATGCCTGGGTCCGACTCCCCATCCCGGTGTCTGGGAGTGCTGGGGTGGGGAACGCCCCTACCCGGGCGCCTGGGTCCCATTCCCCATCCCGGTGTCTGGGAGTGATGGGATGGGGAGCACCCCTACCCGGATGCCTGGGCCGGGCCGCCCGGGGGGGGCAAATGGGGCAATTTCTTCCAGGCCCTGGGCCCCGCAGAGGCCCCGGCCCTGCCTCTGTCTTCGCCCATCCCCTGGTGCCTCAGCGGGGCAGAGGCGTGGCTCTGGGCGGGGCCTGAGCTCCTCCCACTGAGTCAGAGCCGCGTGGTAAGGGGGCGGGGCTGCGAGATCTGGTCCCGCCGGAGCCACGCCGCTGCAGCGCTGTCCAGGGGCCAGGGCAGCTCTTGGACGTGGCGTGCTGAGGCTCCAAGAGAGGGGAGAGGCGGCGGTAACCCAGGAGCGGCCCTGGACAGCGCTGCTGGGCGGTGTGTGTGTGCGGTGGTCAGGGCATGGGGGGCTGGATCGAGGGCATTCCGGGGGTCTGTCAGGACTCGGCGGAGGGGTGGATAGGGGCCAGGGCAGTCGGACGGGGGGGTTGGTGGGGACCGGGGTGGTGGTTGGGGGGTGGTGGTGAGGGGACAAGGAGCAAGATGGGTCGAGGATTCGGAGGGGGGTAGGAAGTGGGTGGGGGTCAAATAAGGGGCAGAGCCAGGCTGTTTGGGGAGGCCAGGGCCGGCTCCAGGCACCAGCCGAGCAAGCGTGTACTTGGGGCGGCAGATTCTAAGGGGCGGCACTCCGCCCAATCCTTTTCTTTTCCTTCGCCGCTTCGGCCGCCCCACAGGTTTTTTTCTTTATTCTTTTTTGGTTCACCGATCCGGCCGCCCTGTAGCGGTGCGGAGGAGGGGAGCGCCCTGCTGGGAGCGGG